AAAAAGTAAAATAGCTTACTTTTTAGCATTAACGCTTTAGATAGCTGTTATTTACTTCTAGTTACCTAGCTAAACTGCTTTTAGCTGTTCTTATCTCTCTAAACTTATAATAACTACTCTAGTAAATATCTAGCTTATTATAAACCTTATTTTATTAAAGTTATACATGTTATTATTCTAAATGCTATACTTAGCTTTAATATTCTTTATAAAGTTAAACTAGCTTTAAATTACTATAGAATTTTTATAAAAGGCTTTTTTATAGTTATGCTTATACTTAAACTTTACTTTAAGCTTTAAGTAACACTTAATAAACATATTAAGCTAGTTTATGTTAATATAGCTTATATTATACTTAGCGTGTAAAGAATTAGCTATATTAGCTATAGCTGCTAGCTAGAAGGGAAATTCTTGCATATTTAGCTTAAGTATGTGCTAAATAATTACTTACTTCTTATTATTATTTAGCTTTTATAAGTTAGCTATATAATTAGCTTAAGAAGGTTATCTAGTGTGTTAGTTACTTATTATTTTTTAAAAGACTTTATAAATAGCTGCAGCGCGTTGCTTAAAAAGTATTATGTTTTATTTAAAAGCTTAAAGTGTAAGCTACATTTAACATTTCTTTAACATGTTTAAGTAGTGTTATTAGGAATACATTAGTGTAGGAAAAGTAGTGTAGTAGAGTCTTAGTAAAAGTAAGTAACTTAGGTGTGTAAGCAACTTGCCTGTAAAGTATGTTAGTAAAACGCATATTATAATCTAGAAATAATTAAACGCAATTTTTAGTTAAATAAAAACAATAGCCTAATAGTAAAAACACTTAGAAACTTATTAAAAACCTAAGAAACGCTCTAAAAGCGTTAGCTTACTTCTAAAACGCTTAGATAATAAAAACTAACTAGGTAAAAAGGCGCTAAAACTAGCAAGCGAAACTAAGGCCTCTCTAGAAACATTATATAGCTACAATGTAGAAAGACAAGTCTCTAACAATAAAGGCTAAGAAGAAAGAAGGCTTACAGTCTTTACCTCTAGAGCCTCTTACTTATCTAGCAATAATAAATCCTATTTTATGTATTTTACCTAATAATCTTAAATTATAATGTCTATGTTTTTGTATAATAAGATAAAAAGAAGATACTTTCTATAATGCTTATTATATAAAGTAGAGCTTAATATACATTTTTTTCTTTATTATTTAGATTTTAAGCTCTTAACTACTTTTATTATAAATAGCATTTTATTATTCTAAGCTAAATTTTTATTAAATATTTATTATACAACTTATTAAGAGTATAATAGCATAAAAAATTAAGTAAAAGACTAATTGTTTAGAATAGTTACCTATTTAGCCTTAGCGCTAAATTAATTCATAGATCTAATCTAGATCTAGGATAGCGCCACGTGATTCCAGATAATCGATTCGTACCGATTCCTGCTAGCACTGTTCACCTCTCACCTCTTTCTTGTTTAGGACTAGCGCTTTTACCTACTATATATTTTCCTTATCTCAGCTAGCTTAGACGTGGTGAGGAGAGAACCAAGGACGCATAAACCACCATGCATATTGCTACTCTAAATAGAGTATGGCCTAGGGGTTAGCAGTTTCTAACCCCTGTTAGTAGCGTTTCTCTCCTTAGCTGTCTAAGGGACTTTTGTAATTTTTTCTATAAATAGGCGTATTTTAAGAGCATTACAATAGAATTAGATTTACAATATCTCTACTACTATATATCTAAATAGGCTTAGAATTTAATAGAATGTAGATACAAGCTGTAGCTATGACATAGTATATTTTCTACTAAATTCTAACTATTATTAGCAGAGAAAAATCTAAACGCGCGCAAAACTTTAACCTATCTATACTCTAATTTTAGATTAATAGTATTGCCCTCCTAACTAGAACTTAACAACTAGTAGACTAAATTCCCTAGGATTTTATAGGATCCCTAACAGAGCTAGTCTAAGACAGCTCCTAGATCATTAGAGTCCTAAGACAACAGCTAGTCAAGCTGCAGACATGAGAGCAATCGCGATGTCTCTAGCCTACTATCCAGCTTAACAACTAGCAGCCTAGATCTCCTAAAATTTTGCAGGCTCCCTAATAAAGCCTGTCTTAGATAAGTCTTGAATTCTAAAGATAATATATAATGTAGTTAAAAAGTTACATTAAGGTGTAGTTATAAGGGTATTAAAATGTCCTACATAGGACTTAATAGCGCAATACTCTGCTAAATCTTGTTAGAATTAGGTTACAAAAATGTTAGGATATAGCTAGAGACTGTCTCTATTACCTCTTAAAATCTAACCTAGTTTAGATAAAAAGTGGTAGAGCTACAGTAATTCTTAGTTAAGCTAGTGCATAGTGGAGGAGGCTTAGAACCACAATATCACCTAAAAAATCACAAAAGTCCCTTAGACAGCTAGGGAGAGAAAGCCTTTCTTACACCCTTATTAGCTAGAGAGATGGGGCTTGCGCCACTAAGGCTACTAGCAGGGGCTTGCCCCTGTCGAGGCTCTCTCCCCATCCCGTCTGAGCTTGCTGAGATAATATTTTCCTCTGAGCTCTCTCGAGCTCCAGAGACTTTACACCTCACCTCAATATACCTAGGTCGTCTCTGATTACCTAATTGACTGCTTCATGCTCTCCACCAACCTTCAGCTCTAACCCTGCGATAGGAGTTCCTGGCGGCTCAGTTGACTCAGCAACCGCGGCACGCGTAATCCACGGTAAACTAGCCACACCAGGAAGCTGGCCAGCCCACCAAATCGCGCGAAATCGCGCGAAATCGCGTCCACCTTTTTGACTATAGCTCAACAACAACATGCATAAAATTCCATTAAAAGGGGGTAGAATTAGCCCTAAAACAAGCTCTTTTAGGTCTAATCCTTGTTAGTCTCTACAGCAGCTTGCAGCAGCGCACAATGTTACCTAAAGTAATCTTAAAGACGCCTTATACCAGTACTCCCCTTGTCAGATATGCGCACCTACTGTCAAGACAGGAGGAACGCTGGACGAAAGCTGCTACATAGTACGAGCAATAAGCTCGAACAGTATGTTGCTGCAAATTGCTGCATGTTGCAGCATTTTGCAACAACTTGCAGCATGTTGCAGCTGGTCGCGCATAGGGCTAGTGCGCGAGGGACTCGGACCGGAAAAACAAAAGCCGAGCAACACGAGCAGACAAAAAGAAAAAGAAACATCGAAAAATCAATACAATAAATCATCATCCCATACATCATATCCAAAACCCATCATTCATCTCAGGAAGCCCAGAAACAGTGCTTCAATCTGACACCCCTATAAAATAAAGGTATACCTGCTTATTATAATCTATGACTTGTTGCAGAGCAGTCTTTTGTTTTCTAAATTCTAGATCTTAGCTAACAAGGTTTTCTAACCTCCCTCCTGCCGTGCCGGGCACCAACCGTGCTAGGGCAAAAGTCGAGTACTTCCAGCACTTACGGATATAAAAATTTGCGCAACTTCTATTTTTCTGATATTTATGCTTATACATTAGCTCTAGGTATCTCTAAATTTGAAAAACCCTTTTCCTATCAAAATTACCGTCTCCTGTGCATGTTGTCGCTGGCTTCACACACTGCTTCGTTCTATATTGGCACAGACGGCCTCGCCCACAGCACCACCATCATCGTCTGATCGCGCTTAGAGCTTCGAATTAGACCTTACTGGAGCGTACCAGTGTCACAATAATAACGATAAGTTGTCATCCCCGATGCTTGTAGCGGTAAGGGTTGCCACGAAGGACGGTACCTCCAATCAGACAAAGGATCTATGTCGGTTAGCGCGCCACGGCAAACGCAGCTGATGTAATGCTTTGCAGTGTAATTTGAGCCGCATGCTCTAAGGCGCCAAAGTGCCAAGATGTGGCCCAGCTCGGACCTAGCTCGGTGAATCCTTTCTTGGAGGTTACATGTGTCCATGTGTGAAGGAACGCTACTAAACTTCGTCACCATCCATTTCGCGCCTAGACTCTACCGCATACTACAAGAAAGCTAGGTCTCCACCGCTGTCAGTCAGCAAAGCCCTACACTAAATGCTTTGCAAGAAGTCTGAAACACCGTGTCACGCAACGCGCTTAAGCTGTGGACATTCGATAAGTTTCTACTCCACCTTGAAAATAAAGTGCCGAATGCTCTTGAGGGCCGGTTTTCAATCAAATTTTTCCAGAATGCTTCGCTTCCAGGTATCATAGTCTGGCGCTTTGCCCTAGTCGAAAGTATCCCAAAACAGTATCTTGTACGTATGTGTTAAACGTTGCAGAGCCTCTATTAGCTAGATGCAAAAGCTTAATGTGTAGTAGTAACTATAGTACTAGCTAGGAGCGCAACTCTAGGCTTATAACTCTTGCATAAGCTAAGAAGAGGTTATAGAGTAGGCAAGTTAATAAAGTATTAAGATCTAAACAAGGTAAATTAAACTAGTGTATTGTAAGGTCTAAGGAGCTTAAGAGAGCTCTAGGCTGACGATCTACTGTACAAGAAAGAAGCTAGTCCTAATAAGTGAATAGCGCAGTACATGGGTATAGTATCGCGTGAGACACGTGCGACAGATGGTATCGTCTGACTGGACACCGTGGAACACTTAATACTGGCTGCATACTCACCGGTCGCTGGCAATGAACGCTGGTCTCAGAGTATATTACGGCACAGCAGTGATAAGGAAGCCAAGAACAACGTCCGTGTATGCATCAATGGTATCACCTCTGCAACACTCGGGATCTATATACATTTTCCATGCAGTGTCTCCGGCGCAATGGTTCGGCGGATAATTCATCTAAACCACCCCGCCGGATCCCGGCGACGCAAGCCTTGCCTCCTGTCGACTGCTCTTGTCCTTTCGGTCTATGGAGTGACGACGTTTCTTCAGCTCCCAAGCCTCCTGGCAGTCGTTTTTGCAGTACACCAAAGTCTCAAGCATTGAAACGACATTCAATCCTCAAGTCGAGACTCGCATTATGACGGAAAGCAACGAAGCTATGGCGTCCCCTGCGGTCAGTGGCTTGAAGTTAACCTTCATCATGACCGGACTTTGTCTCGCGGTACTGCTTACCGGAATGGTGCGTGAACTGTTCATCTACCAAAACCAGACTGATTCAGGATTAGGACCAAACTATCCTCGCTACGGCTGCGCCCACCATCAGCGACGAGTTTGATGCCTTGGACGATATCGCCTGGTGGACAAACCTTTACCTTCTCATGTTGAGTAGCTTCCAGCTATTCTACGGAAAGCTATACACTTTGTTTTCCATCAAACTCATATACATTGGAGCTATCGGATTATTCGAAATTGGCTCCCTGATATGCACGACCGCACCGAACTCTACGGCTTTGATCTTTGGACGTGCAATAGCGGGTCTCGGAGCGTCGGGCATCTTCTCCGGTGGGGTCCTGATCACCACCAAGGTCATACCGTTGTCGCGCAGGCCCGCCTACCTCGGGATCATGTCTGCAGTCTTCGGCGTTGCAGCAATAGCGGGTCCCTTTATTGGAGGCGCTTTGACGGACCAATCTACGTGGAGATGGTGCTTTGGCATAAATCTTCCCATCGGTGCTTGCACAATCATTATTTGTGTCTTCTTGGTACAGATTCCCCCGGAGCCCGCTGTCAGGTCACTCAGCTGGAAAGCTAAAATCCAGGAATTCGACATCCCAGGAACATTCCTTCTGGTGTCTGGCCTCATATGTCTTCTCCTAGGTCTACAGTGGGGAGGCGGCATATATGCCTGGAGCAGCGGACAGGTGATTGCTTTTTTAACTCTATCCGGTGTCCTCCTAAGCGCTTTCGCGGTGCTGCAAGCTTCACATCGATTCGTCAAATCGAAAACAATCCCCACGACCATTAGCAAGGATAGAGATATCTGGCTCGCGGCAAGCTATGCAATGGGACTCACGGGAGGCATATATGTACTCATGGTCTACCTGCCGCTTTGGTTCCAGGTCGTCCGAGGGAAGACTGCACTTTCGTCTGGCGTTTTTCTTACGCCCACGATCGGCGCTTACGTGGTTGGATCCGTAATAGCAGGTGGCGCGACGAGTGCCACCGGCTACTATAACCCCGGGATGATACTCGGAACTATCCTGCTCATCACAGGCGCCGCAGTCCTAACCACGCTGGAACCGAACATCTCGACGCATAAAGTCATCGGGTACGAACTCCTCTACGGTTTTGGCGCTGGATTTGGTTTCGGACAGCCCAGTTACGTTGTTCAGACGCTCCTACCAGAATCCGACGTGCCCATCGGTGTTACTTTCATCACTCTCGTACAGAACCTCAGTGCCTCGATCTTCGTGGCAGTAGGTCAGAGTATTTTCCAGAATGGTCTTGTCCACCGCCTCTCATCCATCGCTCCCGAGACCAACTCTAGCAAATTTCTCCAAACTGGCGCTCGTAATCTACTCAGCTCGCTACCTCCCAAAGATCGTCCCAGAGCACTGGAAGTGTTTAGCGATGCGCTAGTACGAACGTTTTATATTTCACTTGCAGTCTCTTGTACTACGATCTTCGGTGCGTTAGGTGTTCGCTGGCAGTCAATGAAGTCTACAAAGGCATTGGAGAACCGGAATAACATTCCCCCAGAAGACACCCCCCCAATGGAGGAAGTTAGCACTGAGAAAGGTACCTGAAAGACAGGCCCGTTCGAAATAGAACCGGAGGGCGCTTGTGCGCTCACTATGTGTCACCACCCTATTTACTTGCAACTGCTATCATGGGACTACGACCCCGAGTCTATGCGTCTTGGTTTCTCTAGCTAAGGACATGTTGATGTGTATTCTATCTCAATTCGGCGGAGCTGTTACTGTGGTCGCCTACGATTGTCTGCACTTGGAGCGGTAGGAGCGAGTACAAATACCGAAAGGAGTAGCGATTGCGGGAATTAAGGTGTACCTGTTAGGACCAACGGTCCCCTCGTGGTGGTGTATTGTTTCACACCCAGAACCTGCGTCCATCTACCATAATGCGTGTTCCTTGTCGCTTATGGGGTATATTGATTAGCTGCGGGTTCGACCGCGTAGCTACGCCGTACATGTGCCGGGGTAGTACGTACGTTGATGAGTCAACATACATGCGGAAGGCAACTAATATTTCATGTATGTATGCTATCGAGCGGCGCAGCTCGGGGTTTCACAGCTTCGCTTCTCTCACCTTCCCCGTCCACGGCAAAACCGTTCACCCTGCACATATTTCCCCATTTTTAGGCGCCAAAAAATGCCCATGGGAATAAACTAAATAAGGATATTATTACTAACTATAAAGTTCTAAAGGATATTATATTAGAAACGAATAAGCTATTTAAAAAGTATTAGAGATATAGTACATAACGTACTCCACAGGCAAGTTGCTTACACACCTAAGAAGCTTACTTTTGCTAAGACCCTACTAAACTACTCTTTCTATACTAATACATTCCTAATAACACTACTTAGATGTGCTAAAGGAAGATTAAATATACCTTATACTTTAAGCTTTTAAATAAAATATAACACTTTTAAAATAACATACTATAGCTATATATAAAGTCTTTTAAAAATAATGAATATCTAATGCACTAAATAACTTTTATAAGCTAATGTTATAGCTAACTTATAAAAGCTAAGTAATAGTAAAAAGTATGTAATTATTAAGCATATACTTAAGCTATATATATAAAGATTTTCTTTTTAGATAGAAGCTATAGCTAATATAGCTAATTCTTTACACACTAAGCATAATCTAGGCTATGTTAGTATAAACTAGCCTAGTATGTTTATAAAGTGTTGTTTAAAGCTTAAAGTAAAGTTTTAAGTATAAGTATAGTTAGTAAATATCTAGCTTATTATAAAGCCTATTTTATTAAAGTTATATATGTTATTATTTTAAATACTATAGTTAGCTATAATATTCTTTATAAGGCTAAACTAGCTTTAAATTACTTTAGAATTTTTATAAAAAGCTTTTTTATATTTATACTTACACTTAAACTTTACTTTTAGCTTTAAATAACAATTTATAAACATACTAAGCTAGTTTATGCTAATATAGCCTAGATTATGCTTAACGTGTAAAGAATTAGCTATATTAGCTATAGCTACTAGCTAAGAGGAAAATCCTTGCGCATATAGCTTACTATGTACTTAATAATTACTAACTTTTTATTATTACCTAGCTTTTATAAGTTAGCTATAAAATTAGCTTATAAAAGTTTTTAAGTATATTAGTTATTTATTATTTTTTAAAAGACTTTATACATAGCTATAGCATAGTACTTTAAATGTATTACATTTTATTTAAAAGCCTAAAGTATAAGCTATATCTAATATTCTTTTAGCACGTCTAAGTAGTGTTGTTAGAAATGCATTAGTGTAAAAAATATAGTTTAGTAAAGTCTTAGAAAAAGTAAGCAACTTTAGTGTGTAAGCAACTCACCTATAGAGTATATTAAAATTAAGAAATAAAGATATAACGTTTTATAACATATTACAACATATTACCTAGAAACTAATAGACAGTTATAAAGTATCTATAAAAGTATGTAAATTAAGAAAGAAAAGACTAAGTAAAGTAGCTACTAGTAACCTAGTTTGCTTTTAATGCTTATAAATTAATAGCTATAGGATTAACACTTTTAAAGCTAATTATAGATGTAAAGGATAACTTTTTAGAGATAAAAGACTTAGAGAGAAGCTAGGCACTTCTAAAGTAGTTATAGAGAATGTATAATACGTACACATGTTGCACAGTTAGTTTATAGAACAAATTAAATAAAATAACTAAAAAATAGCTAATAAAGCTCACGAAAAATATATAGAAATAGTATAGTTTAGTATAGAAGACAAAGTATACTTAAGTACATAGAATCTTAGATATCTAACAAGACGAGGAATAAAGCTGTATAAGAAATAAGTAAGACTAGTAGACTATTAACTACGCCTCCTATAGTCTCTCTTCATTCACTCTATAGTACACGTTAGGCTGCTAGAACTAGCACTGTTAAATATGCCTATACTATAGAACCTAGAATAAGCAATCTAGAACAAAGAATATAAAGTTAAGCCTATAGTTAAAAAAAGAATAATAAATAAAAAGAAATAATAAAGTAAAAATAGTATGTTTTTAAGTAATACTTAACAACTTAAAAGAAATTTTAAGCAAGGTGTTTTAGTTTTAAAAAACTAAAACTAAAAGTTGTAAATAAAGCTATAAAAGAAGCCTAAGTAAGACTTAGAGGTGTTGTGCACAGTAATAGTAGTGTTAGAAGACAAGAACGCGCAAGAGAAAGGTTGTCTAAGAAGTTGATTGCTAAACCTATATTTTCTTATTTAAAAGCTTCTACTATCTTTATTACTTTTCTATTACTTTTAAAGAATGTAGAATAAAGCTTTTCTAAAAAGTTTACACATTTCTTTGTTGAAAAAATCTAAGCAAGAAGACAGGCCTTGTTAACAGCTACTATAGCTTGTGTAACTGCTAACACTACTTTCTTCTTCTTTGCGTAACATAGTTTAGCTAGAGCATCTTTTAACTAGTCTAGAAGCGCCTTCTTATTACTTTCTAGCTAATCCTACTTTAAATCTAGTATAAAAAAGTTGCACTATAACCTCTTTTAGTTGTAAAAAGAATAAAGACACTATATAGTTAACCTTCTCTTTATAGTAAGAACTGTATAAAGGTATTGTCTTGCAACCTAGAGGAGACAAGTAGGTAGCGCAACAGGAACAGAAACAGTAAACAGATTACGTTACTTTAGCTATTAGTAAATAAATATAAAAGAAGAAAGAAAAAGCAAGTGCGTAATAAATCTTAAAAATAAAGGTATTCATGCTTTAAAAAAAGTAGCACAGCGTCTTACTTAGACTATTAACTTTAAGGAAAAGCTTAGAGAGAGAAAAGCAGATGTTATAACTGCTAGTTAAGCTAGAGGAACGTACAGATCTCTAACTTTACAGAGGAAGAACAGACTAAAGCTAGTAAGGGCACAGCCTGCAAATGTTACATCACGTGACGCTCTAGGACAGGTATAGCGCTATGCATAAGCAACGTAGTTATTATAGTTCTTAGCAGGTAATTATAATAATTATAACAATATTTTATAATTACATCTTTGCATTTATATTTACTATAATTACTTTTAGATATAACATACTTCACAGGCGAGTTGCTTACACACCTAAGTTGCTTACTTTTGCTAAGACCCCACCCTAATAAACTCTATTATAGCCTATAACAACCAGCTCTAGCACTATATAGTACAGTATAGCCTAGAATATTATTTAGATACTACTTCTACTTCTTACTTACACATTTGTGTGTTATACCTAGTCTAATTGCACTATCTGCAGCGCCTTTAGAATAGCGTACCTACTTTAGCTTACACTTGCTTTTTTACCTTCTTTCTGTTACTATGCACTTTAAACTCCTTTAAAGCTATTAATTATAAGCCTTTTTAAATTATTAAGGTTTTTTTTACCTTAATTTAGTTACTTTCTTTTATATAATTTATGTTATGTAGCAGCCTTATTAGCTTTTTAAAGCTTAGTAATTTCTTATTATGCTAACACTAGCTTATACATAATTATTACTACCCTTTTTAAACCTTTTTTAAATGCCTTAACTATAAAAGTTAGTAAACTATTTATATGCTTTTAAATTTTTATCTTTATAAGCATTAATTATAACTTAAGTTTTAAAGTATTACTAAAAGTTTACAACTACTAAGACTTATTATGTATAAGTAGTAGTAGTAATAAAGTGCATAACTTTACATTAAAGCCTATTAACGTACTTCATGGGCGAGTTGCTCACACACCTGAGTCGCTTACTTTTGCCAAGACCCTACTAAACTACCCTTTCTACACTAATGCATTCCCCACAACACTACTTAGACGCGCTAAAAGAACATTAGATACAGCTTACGCTCTAAGCTTTTAAATAAAACATAAAACTCTTAAAGAAATGTGCTATAGCTATATGTAAGGTCTTATAAAAGATAATAAATAACTACAGCGCTAGACAACCTTTATAAGCTAATTCTACAGCTAAATTATAAAGGCTAGGCAATAAAAAGAAGTAGGTAATTATTAAGACTATACTTAAGCTATATGCTCGAGGAATTTCCCCTTAGATAGCATTTATGGCTAATATAGCTAATTCTTTGCGCGCTAAGCGTAATCTAGGCCATGTTTGCATAAACTAGCCTAGTACGTTTGTGAAGCGTTATTTAGAGCTTAAAGTAACATTTAAGCGTAAGTACAACTATAAGAGAGCCTTTTATAAGAGTCCTAGGGTAATTTAGGGCAGGTTTAGCCTTGTAGAGAATATTAAAGCTAAGTATAGCATCTAGGATAATAACACGTACAACTTTAGCAAAACAGGGTTTATAATTAGCTAGATATCTTTTAACTATACTTGCGCTTAAAACTTTACTTTAAGCTCTAAATAACGCTTTATAAACGTACTAGGCTAGTTTATGCAAACATAGCCTAGATTACGCTTAGCGCGCAAAGAATTAGCTATATTAGCTATAAATGCTATCTAAGGGGAAATTCCTCGCGCATATAGCTTAAGTATAGTCTTAATAATCACCTGCTCCTTTTTATTGCCTAGCCTTTATAATTTAGCTGTAGAATTAGCTTGTAAAGGTTGTTTA